GCTCCGAAGCCTGACCCGCCACCCCAAGTACAAGACGGAGCTGTGCCGCACCTTCCACACCATCGGCTTCTGCCCCTACGGGCCCCGCTGCCACTTCATCCACAACGCCGAGGAGCGCCGCGCCCTGGCCGGGGCCCGGGACCTCTCCGCCGACCGTCCCCGCCTCCAGCATAGCTTTAGCTTTGCTGGGTTTCCCAGTGCCGCTGCCACCGCCGCTGCCACGGGGCTGCTGGACAGCCCCACGTCCATCACCCCACCCCCCATCCTGAGCGCCGATGACCTCCTGGCCTCACCCACCCTGCCTGACGGCACCAATAACCCCTTTGCCTTCTCCAGCCAGGAGCTGGCGAGCCTCTTTGCCCCTAGCATGGGGCTGCCCGGGGGTGGCTCCCCGACCACCTTCCTTTTCCGGCCCATGTCCGAGTCCCCTCACATGTTTGACTCTCCCCCCAGCCCTCAGGATTCTCTCTCGGACCAGGAGGGCTACCTGAGCAGCTCCAGCAGCAGCCACAGTGGCTCAGACTCCCCCACTTTGGACAACTCAAGACGCCTGCCCATTTTCAGCAGACTTTCCATCTCAGATGACTAAGCCAGGGTAGGGAGGGTCTCCCTACCCACTCCACCCCATCCCTACCTCCCCTACCCTCACCTCCCTGTCCTACCCTACAAGCCCTTACATTGACAAGGTTAAGCTCAACCCCTTTCCCCTAGAACCTTGGAATGTTCCCCCCCTCTCCTCCCTTTTAACCCTCCCACCCTTAACATACGGACAAGTCAGTTTGTCAGTAGCTTCCTCTGGCTTGAAACCCCCTCCCTTGATTTTATAGCCCACTTACCATGCATAACAGACAAGTCCCATATTTGTCAGTAGATGCCTTTTTCCCTCCCCCGGCTTAAGCCTTAAGTGCCAAATCACAAAAGAAAAAGCAGTAACAGTTTACAGAAGCAACTTAGTGCCTTGTAATCTAACTTTGTCACTGTGACTACATTACCTCTTCAGCGCCAGAGGGCACCCGTGGGCCTCCCGGAGCCTCTGCCCATGGGGAGGGGGGAGGGGGGGAGGGGACCCAGACCAGCAGCTCCCTCCACTGGCGAGACAACTGCACCTTCCCTTATTTCAGTCTCCCACACACTTCCTCCTCCCTTCCCCAGTAACCCCCGCCCCCCCCCAACCCCCTCGGGAGAGTTGTTGCCAGACTTGGGTTTTTGGGGAAACCTATCTTGACATTCAAAACCTTTTTCTTCCCGACCCGAACCTCTGTTGACTAATCTTGCCTGGGTTCGCGTAGGTCTACAGGAAGGAAGACTGAAAAAGTGGATGAAGATTGTGACATAAGTGGGACTTTGTGATTTAATTTTTTTCTTTTTTTTTTTTTTTTAAGTGGGGAGGAAGGGGAAGCTAGATGGACTATGAGAGACTTGATTTTGGTGCTAAAGTTCCCCAGTTCATATGTGACATCTTAAAAAAAAAAATGACAAAAAAGTGAGAGAAAAGCTAAAAAAACATGTAAGGGGTGAGAGTTAATGGTATTCATTCCACGTACAATATCTGTGTAAAACGATTTCCCGTAGACGTAGCTTTAATGGTTTTGCTCTAGAATACCGTAGGTCTATCCTTAGAGCACTCACGCCATGCTTTTTTCCCTGGGTTTTTTAAACTTCATATAACTTTCAGAAATTGGAGAGCAAAATTTTTGCTTGTCACTGCACATCAATATAAAAAAGCTTATTTAACTTATCAAAACGTATTTATTGCCAAACTTTGCTTTTTTTTGTTAATTTTGTTCATATTTATCGGGATGACAAATCCATAGAATATATTCTTTTATGTTAAATTATGATCTTCATATTAATCTTAAAATTTTGTGACGTGTCTTTTTCCCTTTTTTCCACAGTTTTAATATATTATTCTTCAACGACATTTTTTGTAACTTTACACTTTTTTTTTGGTTATTTTATTTTAAAAAAATGAAAAATTAATTTAAAAAAATGCAAAAAACTGTTGGAT